GAATTCTGTTTGAAGTATACAGTGTTAATGTTTGACATCAGTTGCCCACGTGTGAAATGTGGAAACTCAGACCCCACCCAAATATCCACATCAGAATATGAATTTTACCAAGATCTTCAGTTCATTGTCATACACATTAAGATTGAAGTACACCTCTAGCTCTCCTACACTTTTCCATTATTCTACTCCTGTCTTCATGTGTATAGGACATTATTTTGATAACTGCCTTGTTGTATGCCTTAAATCAGGAAATGTGCTCTTCATTTCCCAGATTATTTTGGGTACGGTTTATCCCGTGACGTCCATGTAAAATTAGGGTGCATTTTGATCTTTCTGCAAAAATGGCATTGGAATTTTGGTAGAGATTTCACTATTCTGTAGATCTCGGCAAGTTTATTGTGTTTCAAGTATTCCAGTGAAAGAACTTGGATGTGTTTCCAACTTATTCCTTCTTTTGATTCCTGCACAATATTTTATACTTTTCATCATTTCAGGTTTGACCTCTACCATTATGTTAAATTGGAAGCATTTTGGGGGGGGGGTGATGTTGCTCTAAATGTATGATGTCTCTGTTTCAGGAATTGTTCTTTGTTGTACAGAAACAACTAATTTTTATGTGTTGGGTTTGTGTACCAACTTTGTAAAATGCATATGAGTTTTTTTTGTTGTTTTTTTGTTTTTGTTTTTTTTAAGATTTTATTTATTTATTTGACAGAGAGAGCACAAGTAGGCAGAGTGGCAGGCAGAGGGAGAGGGAGAAGCAGGCTCTCCGCTGAGCAGGGAGCCGGATGTGGGGCTCGATCCCAGGACCCCAGGATCATGACCTGAGCCGAAGGCAGCCGCTTAACCGACTGAGCCACCCAGGCGCCCCAAATCCATATGAGTTTTAACAGCAATGTAACAATAAGGATTCTCCAGGAGAAGAAATGGCAGTGGAGGAGGAGGATTCTAGACTCATCACATACCCTGAACACCACGAGATAACTATCAGATCATCCTAAATACCCCAGAAATTGGGCTGAAGACTGACAGGACAAACTCCCAAAGAAAAGGAGAGAAGAGGCAACATTGAAGATGGCAGATAGTTTGGAGACATGGTTTAGGGAGAAAAGGAGTATATCGCTGTGGAGGGCAGCGAATTGTGGTTGGACAGAAAGTAGCATGACAGAGGAGCTCACAGGGGAACGCATAAGGAGAAGGTTTCCCCAAAGCCATTGGCTTGGAAAGGGAGAGGGGATAAATTTCACGAGTTCATGGAACTCGCATGTCTTAAAGCCTGAACTTTTAATGGTCAGCAGGATTGGATGAGATAGTCAAGAGGGCACTGTGCTCCTGGAGAGAAGGCAGGCAAACAACCTGGAGGCAGACAACGGGGAAACAGCCATCTAAAGAACACCTGGGGCACATGGTGGGGAGAATATTCAGTAGTCTAGGAGCACTTTCCTGAGAGGAAACATTCAGTGAGATGTGTCTCCAAGAACATGGGAGTTGGATGGCACCATTTTCCTCTTCCAGCCTGTAGCATAAACACAGAGCCCCACTCAGTGAGGACACCGGCTCTCTGCCTTGCTTGCACCAAGCCTCACCCCCCTGTGATCTGATGGGACTGCTCTTCTCAGTGAGGCTTGCCTCAGGCTCAGCAAGGTGGGCCCCTGCCCACATCACATCTCCTGAGCAGAGAGTTCTATAGGGCATCAGCTCTGGTAGGCTTGATGTCAGGTCAACTTTGACAAGCAGGCCAGAGCTCACCTAGTTAAAACTGGCCACATTCAGGCCAGGCACCAAACACTGCCCATAGCAGGCAAGGAGAGTCTCTACAGACCACTGGCCTGAAGGATATAGTAGGACCCATCACTGGCTTTTCTAACACACACAAGAAGGTAGAGACTTAGACAAAATGCCAAGATGAAAGAATTTATCCCAAACAAAAAAGCAGATAAGGCCAAGGCTAGAGGTATAATGGAAACAGAGGGGAGTAACGTGCTTGATGGAGAATTAAGGCAACAATCATAAGGATACTCAAAGGGTTGAGAAAAGAATAGAACTTTATCACAGAGATAAGAGTTAAAAAATAATTGGGGTGCTTGGGCACTCACTTGGTTAAGCCACTGACTCTTGGTTTCTGCTCAGGTCTTGATCTGAGGGTCCTGTGATCCGCCTCAAGTCAGGCTCTGCACTCAGTGTGATGACTGCTTGCGATTCCCTCTCTCCCTCTCCCTCTGCAGATCCCATTCATACTCTTGAGATCTCTCTCTCTCTCTCTCTCAAATATATAAATCTTTTAAAAAAATCAAACAGATGAACAATGCAATAAGCGAGAATAGAAACATGCTTGATGTAAAGAGTAGGCTGGAAAAAGCGGAAGAATGACTTTGTCATATAGAAGGTGAAATAAAGGAAAATACTGAGTCTGAGCAAAAGAGGGAGGGAGAAGAATCATGCAACGCAGTATTTGATTTAGGGAACTCATTGACTCCATCAAATGTAGTAATATTCCTAGGTCTTGGGCTTTTCTATGTTGGGAGAGTATTGATTCCAGATTGAACGTTCATTCTTATGGGTCTAAGGAGATTTCCCATTTCTTTGGTTCAAGGTTCCTAATTCAGTCTTAATAACTTGTCTATTTTTGGGAATTAATCTGGTTTTTTTCTAAATTACCTTATTCGTTAGTATATAATGGTTTAAGTAGTTAAACCATCACCAGTTCATTTGTTTTGTTGGTTAAAATGGACATTACTTTCAGTGTTCTATTAGTGTTAATCTGGTATCTATTTTATTTATTTCAGATTTTTCTTCATTATTTCATTCCTCTACTAAATTTCATCTAAGTTTCTTCCTTTTCTAGTTCTTCTGTTGGAAGTTGTTTATTCCAACATTTATCTTTATACTGTATAATAAAAAAATTGAAAATGGGAAGTCTAGTAGGGAAAAACTTGCAGAAATAATACAAACAATGACAAAAAACAGTAAAAAAAATTAAAATTAGTTTTTTTAGGGATTTCTATAATCATGTCATCTGTGAACAGAGATAATTTTACTGTTTTTCTTTTTTTTTTTTTTAAAGATTTTATTTATTTATTCATGAGAGACAGAGAGAGAGGGAGAAGCAGAGGGAGAAGCAGGCTCCCAAGGAACAGGGAGCCTGATGTGGTACTCGATCCCAGGACCCTGGGATCATGACCTGAGCCGAAGGCAGACGCTTAACCATCTGAGCCACCCAGGCGCCCTACTGTTTCTTTTTCAATTTGGATTCTTTTTATGTATTTTTGGATGCATAATTGTTCTGTCTAGAATGTCCAGTACTGTATTCAAAGACAGTGGTGTGGTCACTTCTTTATCTTGTTTCTGATCATACAGGAGAAGCTAGCAGTCTTTTACTATTGAATAGGTTAGATTTCAGCTTTTCCTACATCTATGGTGTTCATTAGGTTGAGGGGTTTCCTTCTCTCTCTACCTATGGTGATTTTAACATGACATGTTGTCCAATGTGCCCATATTTGTATTCTGTCTCATTTAACATGATCGTGTCATTTTTAATCTTCATTCTATTAATGTGGAGTCTTCAAAAAATGGTTTTCCATATGTTGGAACACCCTTAATTCCAGGATGATTTCCTACTTGATTATCTTATAAAATGGAAAAATGTGGTTTTGATTCAGTTTGCTCTATTATTGTGGACTTTGAGTGAATATTCCTCACAGGTAGTAATTTTTAACCTTCTTTACTTGTAGAGTCTTCTTCTGGCTTGGATAACCTGGTAATGCTGGTACCCCAGAGAGAGTGTTCTGCTGATTTTTCTTATCTTCACTCCTTAGAAATGTTTGAGGAGATTTGAAGTACTTTCTCCTTAACTGTCTGTTTGAATATCCAACTAATTCATTTGGCACACGATTTTTTTTTTAAATAAAGATTTTATTTATTTGACAGAGAGAGACACAGCGAGAGAGGGAACACAAGCAGGGCGAGTGGGAGAGGGAGAAGCAGGCTTCCCGCGGAGCAGCCCCGATGCGGGGCTTAGTCCCAGGACCCTGGAATCATGACCTGAGCCCAAGGCAGACACTTAAGGACCGAGCTACCCAGGCGCCCTAAGACTTTTCTTTGTTGGGAGTTTTTGTTCGTTTGTTTTTGTTTTTATTCCTCTTTCATTCTGCTTTGTGGTTGTAGATCATTTTTTATCTTTTTTATATTTCTGAATGATGGAGTCTAAATTGGTTATACCTTTTTTGAAATTTATACTCCTCTTTTGGTATCAGTTTGTGGGCACTGATTATCCATCATTGCCTTATAATTACTTTTATTCCTATGGTCAGTTATACTGTGTCTGCTTTCACTTCTTCATCTCTCATTTTAGTTGGTCTTTTCTCTTTTATTCTTTTAATTTAGTTACGGGCTGTCAATATTGTTGATCTTTCCTGACAAATACTCTTCCTATGGTTGATACATTCCTATTTTTACTATATCCTATTTGGTTCATTTCACTTTTCTGTTTATCTTTTATTTTTTTTAAGATTTTTTAATTTATTTGACAGAGACCCCATTAGAGAGGGAACACAAGCAGGGGGAGTGGGAGAGGGAGAAGCAGGCTTCCCGCGGAGCAGGGAGCCCGATGCAGGGCTCAATCCCAGGACCCTGTGATCACGACCTGAGCCGAAGGCAAATGTTTAACGACTGAGCCACCCACACGCCCCTCACTTTTCTGTTTAAATATCCATCCTTCTACTAATTTTGTGCTCATGTGACACTTTTCCTGATTATTAGAGACATAGGAAAGTGATTTGTGCTACATCGTGACAATAACACAGAATTATCTATTGAGATATGTGGTCAGTACGTTGTATGCAGTGTTATGTGTCCATGGAGGGATAAAGTCCTGATGATTCCTTCTCAGCCATCTTTCTGACATTGTCTGATTGACTTGAATATTCTATCGTAGAAGTTCTTAGTATATTCATCTGAAAATAGTAAGTGCAATGGTTTTACTTTTATTTGATATCTTTCAGCTTCATCATCACATGACACCCAGAGTTTCCTGCTAAAGCCAAGCATAGAAGGTTCTTTCCAAAAAGTATCAGTGCATAGATATCAAGATAGTGCTGTTGAGATTTTGCACTTAAGTACAGACTGGGACAATGATGGGGGGAGTGAAGGGCATCAAAGATTTCCTGGAGGCTATACCCAAACCAACGCAGTTGCCCTTAATAAGAATCTCACTGCCCCAAATGGTGAAGGAAATAAAACATTGTGGAAAACCTCCCTTTTTAAGTCAACTCTTTCTGCAAAGCATTGTGTTTCTGTAAGCAAAAGCTCCAATCAAATATTCAAACATACATATTTGTGGACAGACCATTTGGAAAATCTGGAAAGTTACCTAGTCCATGCTGAAAATAATGATTTGAACCATTTTGAAGATAGAATTGGCTTGACCTTTCAGTCAAATATTTCTGATAATCAGAGATTTAGAAATGAAGAACGAAGTGCTAAGTCAGATCCGTATGAGAGGTGCTTCACTGAGGAGTCAACCGTACAGAATTACCAGAGCCTTTTCAATGGAGACAGAATTGCTCAATGCAGTGAATCTGAGAAAACATTTAACCAGGGTTCCAATGTTCATAGATGTGTGAGGACTTGGTTTCCAGAGAACCATTATGGATGTCATAAATGTGGGGAAGGCTTTAATCAAAGCTCTAACCTTACTATACACAAGAGCCTCCCTTTGGGAGATAATCCTCATAAATATAATAAATGTGGGAAAGCTCTTAAGCAGTCCTCCAGTATTGGTGATCATCAGAGAATTCATGAGGGAAAAAACCCATTCAGATGCAATAAACCAGGGACCATGTTTAGTCAGTCAACAAGGCTAAATATAAATAAGATAATCCCTGGGGGAGAGAAAACTTCCATTTTTAAGGAATGTGGTAAATCCGTTGACTGCCACTCAACACCATCTCAATATCAGCAAATGCATACTGGAGAGAAAATATTCAAATGGGAAGAATGTGATAAAACCTTAAAGGACAGTTCATCAATAAATGGACATAGGCAAATCCATACTGGAGAGAAACTTTACAAATGTCAAGAATGTGGCAAAGCCTTTAAATGGCCCTCAAAACTTATTCGACATCACAAAATCCATACTGGAGAGAAATCTTACAAATGTCAAGATTCTGGAAAGGCCTTTAACCAGCAGTCACACCTCACTCAACATCACAGATTTGATACTGGAGAGAAACCTTACAAATGTAAAGAATGTGCCAAAGCCTTTAAATCCTGCTCAACCCTGACTGAACATCACCGAATGCATATTGGAGAGAAACCTTATAAATGTAAAGAATGTGGAAAGACCTTTAAGAAGCACTCAGTCCTTACTTATCATCACAGAATTCATACAGGAGAGAAACCTTACAAATGTCAAGTATGTGGCAAGGCCTTTAATTGGCCCTCGAACTTTAGTGAACATCACAGAATTCATAGTGGAGAGAAACCTTACAAATGTCAAGAGTGTGGAAAGGCCTTTAACCGGCACTCCCACCTCACTCGACATCACAGACTTCATACTGCAGAGAAAACTTACAAATGTAAAGAATGTTCCAAAGCCTTTAAATCATGTTCAACCCTGACCGAACATCTCCAAATGCATACTGGAAAGAAATTTTACAAATGTCAAGAATGTGGAAAGCTCTTTAACAGACTCTCAACCCTTACTCAGCATCACAGAATTCATACAGGAGAGAAACCTTACAAATGTCAAGAGTGTGGAAAGGCCTTTAACCAGCACTCACACCTCACTCGACATCACAGACTTCATACTGCAGAGAAGACTTACAAATGTAAAGAATGTTCCAAAGCCTTTAAATCATGCTCAACCCTGACCAAACATCTCCGAATGCATACTGGAGAGAAACTTTACAAATGTCAAGAATGTGGAAAGCCCTTTAACAGACTCTCAACCCTTACTCAGCATCACAGAATTCATACAGGAGAGAAACCTTACAAATGTCAAGAATGTGGCAAGACCTTTAAGTGGCCCTCAAGACTTATTCGGCATCACAGAATTCATACTGGAGAAAAACCTTACAAATGTCAAGAATGTGGCAAAGCCTTTAAGTGGCCCTCAAACCTTACTGGACATCAGAGAATTCATACTGGAGAAAAACCTTATAAATGTCAAGAGTGTGGAAAGGCCTTCAGCAGGCAGTCATACCTCACTCAACATCACAGATTTCATACTGGAGAGAAACCTTACAAATGTCCAGAATGTGCCAAAGCCTTTACATCATGCTCAAACCTGACTAAACATCACCGAATGCATACTGGAAAGAAACCTTACAAATGTCAAGAATGTGGCAAGGCCTTTAATTGGCCCTTGGACCTTACTCAACATCACAGAATTCATACTGGAGAGAAACCTTACAAATGTCAAGATTGTGGAAAGGCCTTCAGCAGGCACTCATACCTCACTCAGCATCACAGATTTCATTCTGGAGAGAAACCTTAAAAATGTCCAGAATGTGGCAAGGCCTTTTACAGGCACTCAGTCCTTATTAAACATCATAAAATTCATTCTAGATAGAAACCTTACCAATGTAAAGAATGTGAGAAAATGGTTAAGGAGTGCTCACCCCTTAGTACACATCAGAGAATTCATATTGGACAATAACCTTAGAAATAGAACAGATGTGGCAAGGCCATTGACCAGCATGCATACCTTACTAAACATAGAATTCATACTGGAAAGAAAGCTGACAAATGAATAGAATGTGCCAAAGCCTTTAGCAGGCAAACAACCCTTACTGGACATCACAGAATTCATACTGGAGAGAAACCTACAAATGTAAGGAATGTGAGAAAACACTTAAGGACTGCTCTCTCCTTACTCCATATCAGAGATTTCATATAGGAGAGTAAGTATACAAATATTAAAGAATGTGTCCAACCTCTCACTGGATCTCCCAACGTACTTAACATCATAGTTATCATATAGGAGCAAAACTGTAAAATGTAAAGAAAATGGACAAGCCTTTTCTGGAATTCAAACCTTAATATCACAAAATGCATCCTAGACTCAATCCATTGGAACATACGGAATGTGGAAAGACCTTCAATTTAATATACACTGGAGTATACACCAGAGTGCATTAAAAAAAGTAAATTGAAAGATACCAATGTTTAGAAAACTACTTAATTGAACATCAAATACCAATAAATGTCACAGAAATCAAGTAAAAGGAATGCATTAGTCAGTCTATTCAGACATTACTCTGTATGAAAATAGTTCTAAGGAATAATCACACTTAAACATTTAGAAAATGTATGCTATTGTATTTCAACAGATTTGGTGGATGGACTTTTACATATGTATAATTAATATGTGTTTTTTATTTTTTCATCAACCCTATTCGAGATTTGTGACTAACAATATTAATGTATTTTACTCTGAAATCACTTCAGAAAATTCTTTTATTCCATTGGGTGTGTACGGCCATGTGGCTGATCGTTGGTACCTCAAAGATACTAGATGCCCTGCTACATTAGGTGGGACTCATGCATCCCTAATTTTCCATGGAAGATGAAGGACAGGATAATACACAACATATGAAGTATATCTCAATGGAGAGGCTGCTTACGGTTATAACATTGACGTAAAATACCATGAAATAGGTGTTCAGAGCACATGCTTCTCCATATATTAAAACTAAAGAACTTCCTCAATATTAGAAATACACAGTTTTACTAATTGTTCTTTAAGGAAAACGAGGTGTCAGTCCAGTAAACTACCAATGTATATTCATAACTGCAATCGTTAGAGAGTATGAGTTGATGTGGTTGAAATGAAGAAATCCTGACAGATAACTGAAAGAGGATAGTTGACTCTTCCCTACAAGGCCATACTGTTGTATATACACATTTCTTAAGAATTTACCTCAGTCATGATATTTTTGGAATTAAGTACTCCCACATCCTTCTAACAGCACTCGAATGCTTTTTCACGTGTGTATTCTGTATTTTAAATGGTGATAATAGAGTGGATTTGAAATGCATAACTTAGCCCATTTGTGAGATTAATATATTTTCATTAAGAAAATATGCTGGTTTTTAACGTATTGACATGGATGTGTGATGGATGACGTGTTATCCTACCTCCAGTGTTAACCTGTCTCATTGAGGGTTGTAGGTGGCAGATGGAATCAATCACCTGTTTGGTAATGGAGTAGAATAATATACCTAGGAATCCATTTCCTCGGTGGTCTGAAGGTTTAAATGATGGGTGATTATTTTTCCCCTAGTCTATTATACGATTTTGTCCTCTTCGTGAATACTATGATATTATTATGGGTACATTACAGAGGTATGTAACATAAGAGGTGTTGTTGATGTTTTAGCTCACATACTCCATGATAGTGTTATTTGGCATCCACTTTGTGTAGGCAGTAGTTTTGCAGGGGCCTTGCACTGACAGGAGCCCTTCTCGCTAGCGCATTCCCTGGACAACACGCTGCAGAGTCACAAGTTAATGGAACTTCTGGTATCACATCGGCAATCCATCCTTGTGAGCCACCATCTCTCCTTTCTCCCAATGCTTTCCCTCCATGTCCCTTAGAGAAGACTCCCACAGAACTTCCCTAAACCTGTTTTGGCTGGAATGGCATATTCTGGACTTAGCCTTGGGACTCTAAAGCATTGCACCATGGCCCCAAATTAAAGTATGTGCCCCTCTTTATGCATTGAATTGTTTCGATGTGTCTATGAAGTTCACATGTACATATGACCATGCTACATGTGTAATAGATACCCCATAAGAAAGAGAAATCTATCCCAATAGGAGTGATATGGTAGCCCAGGTAAGAGAGAGAAAATATTTAAGATGAAGAATTAGCATGTGGAGGAGGACAACTGTCCCAAGTTGCCCAACTGACACCCTGGATATAGAAAAATAACTTCTCCTTGTTTTATTTCCTAGTTCTCTCAAGATCTCCAGTTGTATTTTTCCTCATTTTTGTTTCCAGCTACATAGGCACCACAACCATTCTTTTTTGCCTGTGTTGTGGAGAGAGTGTCCTCAATAAACGCTTCATTGAGACTAGAGAGATGGAAGGTCAATGGGTATTAATTCAGACATTTATCACGGGGATGTGGGATGTGAGTTGAAGTAAAATTTGATGAAGGCACCATCCTTAGAAAGATAAGACCTATTAATAGGAAATGTAAAGAAGTCTTTCCAATGTGGGGAGGGACCCAGAGGGGGCTCCCTTTAGTCACTGCGAAGGCACAGGCAGCTCTTGGTGATGTTATCTAATAAATACATGTAACGGGGAAAAGGAATTGGCAAATGTGGGTTTCTCAGGAGTAGGGAAGTCCTGCTTTATCTTGATGATTTGATTGATCTCCTGTGTCTTACTGAGGACTAATGCTGTTGGATGTCAATGATTACTGTATTTTCCCAGGCCTAGATCAGTGACAAGGGATGGCGGAGGGTATTGGATGATGCAATCAATTTGGCATAGTTTTAAAATGTCACATGGTAGAGTAGTTGTTGGAGATGAAGAAGCCTTCTGGACAGTGGAATAGGCAGGATCAGCAAGGCATGTGCTGTGGTTGAACCCGAGCACTTGTTTCCCAGGTAGATAACCCCAGTCAAGGTAAGAGCCACTATAGTTGGGTGACCTTTCAGGGAAACTGCTTCACTGCTGTGTGGAACCTTCCTCCCTTTCCTCAGCACCATGATGAGTGTAGTTCCATGCTCTGGCTCTTTGCATGGCAAGGATTTGTTGAAGGGGCAGTTCAACAGTGAGAGTCAGTGAGACTTTTTCTTCAAACAGTCCAGCTAAAGTGTTCATTGACTCCTCAATGAATAAAGAGAGAGATATATATATAGAAGGGAATATTTATCACCCTAAAAGGAATGACATCTTGCCATTTGCCACAACGTGGATGGAGCTAGAGAGTATTCTGCCGAGTGAAATAAGTCCGAGAAAAACAAGTATCATATGATTTCACTCGTATTTGTAATTCAAAAAAGAAAACAAGTGAGCAACGGGAAAGAACAAAGAAATGGAGAAGCAAACCAAGAAACAGACTCTTAACTTTAGAGAACAACCTGATGGATGCCAGAGTGGATGTGAGTAGATGAATGCATTAAATAAGTGTTGGGGATTAAGGACTGCCCCTGTGATGACCACAGACTGTTACATGGAATTGTACAATCACTATTGTACACCTAAAATATTACTTTGTATGTTAACTAAGTAGAATGGTAAGATAAAAACCTTAAAAAGTATTTTGTGTTTTACAGATTTAAGAAACTTTTTCTTTTAGATCACCTGACTTGCAGCACTTGCACAAAATACACCTTTGCAAACAAATGGAAATATTTATGTTTTCTCCCGTCCTGACTCCCCCCCCAAATTCAGAAACTCTCAATGACTATTCTTAGTTTTTATGTCATCAGAGGTTTTAGCTATGATTGAATGTGCTAATTTGAGTGGTCTTGCTCCTTCAGGTGTCACCCTGGAGATGGTGGATTGTTTCTTGTGTCTTGGTTTTCTCTGGAGTTAGCCTGACTAAATTGAAAGTGCTCAGCATGCTAAGGGGCTGATTCTTCTATGTTTCCCCTGATGCAGCACCTAAATTATTTGTATCACGAATGGGAATCCCTGTGGGATGGTTGCTGGGTGCTGAAGTTGTCTCTCCCACCCTCTAGTGAGAGGAGCTAATGTCCTTTTTGTCCTTGGATTCATTCAGAATCTCATTTACAGAATGCAACAAGCATTTAAATGGGCCACATTGTGAAGAATTTTAAATTTCTCAGAGGCAGATGCATCTGTGCCCACAGACCTCCAATCTGTGCTTCTGACACTAAAGTGAATTGTGGCCATGCAGTATTCCAAGAGAAAATCATCTATTCCTATTAGTAGAGTGATAACTTAATGCCAAGTGATTCTTTTAACATGCAGCCTGTTGGGCTGCAAGTTGGGATGCAGCTCAGAAACAGTGATTTCTGTTGCTGGCCAAAAAACAACTTCAACTACATAAGCACTTAAGCAGAACCACAAACCCTCTCAGATTCTGTGACTTATTATAACCAGAAGAGGACTAGTCCTCACCAGAATGAGGTTATGAGGAAACTCAAACCAAGTAACAAATTTCTCTGGTGTCTTCACATGCCAAGTTATTTACCAATAGAGGTCTTCCCAATCAGATGCCTTATTTCTCCCACTGCAGACTGGAGGCACCATACTCAGGAAGCTTTGCACTTTTTTCTTCATAGTCTTTTAATGCTTTTTGATATGCACAGTCCCTGTAACTTTTTAATTAATTTTTTTTCTTTTTGGTTCATGACAGTTTAATTCTACATTTTATTTTATACTGTTAAAAGAATTTTAGCAGTTTTCTTTTATGAGAGAGAAAGCACACCTGTGACTGGTGGTGTTTGGGGAGGGGAATGGCAAAGCGAGAGGGAGAGAATCTAAAGCAGACTCCACACTGGGCCCAGAGGGCAACCTGGGGCTCCATCTCTCGATCCTGTGATCTTGACCTCAGTCCACAAGAGTCAGCCAAGTAACCAACTGAGCCACCCAGGGTCTCTGACTTTATAATACTTTATTTTAATTCTATTTAGTTAACATAAAGTTTTCTTAGTTTCAGGTGTACAATAGAGTGATTTCACAGTTCTATACCTCACCCCTTGCTCATCAGGACAGATGCGCTCCTTAATCCCCAACCCCTCTTTAACCCTTCCCCTCACCCACTTTCCACCGGTAACCATGAGTTCTGTGCCATTAAGCATCTGTTTCTTGATTTCTCTCTCTCGCTCTCTGTACTTTGTCAGTTACTGATTGTTTAAATTCCTGTTGGGGAGGTGGACTATCTATGGTCATCCCAATGGGGCTTTTCATGCCTTTTCTGATTTTTCATTATATTAATAATTCTAACATGTTCTCTCTTGTGCTCTGTTCCCTCCTATTGTTGAGATATATGCAAGCAGATCCTGTTCCTTCACCCAGCCAATAGATCATGCTTACTACTCAAAAGAAATTCATCCCAATATCCCCTCTGGACTCTATGACAATGGCCTTCTATGAAAGTTACATGTAGGGACAGATAGTGACCAATTTCAGTCCTTAGGTAAGGAAATGTCTACGACTCCTGTCACCATAAAGAAGTTACACAAGATGACCCCTTCATCCTTCAACAGCCTTAAGGACTGAAGGACAAATATATACAATGATATATTAAGCAGCTATAAAAAATAATGAATGGAACTAGTGTATTCTCCTAATGACATAAGTCAGAGAAAGACAAATACCTGATGAGTTCGCTCATGTGGATTTTAAGAAATGAAACAGATAGACATAGGGGAAAGAAGAGCAAGGAAAACCACAAAACAGACTCAACTGTAGAGAACAAACTAAGGGTTGGATAGTGAGTGGGTTGGAGGGGTGGATGAAATGGGTGATTGATGGGCTGGGTGGCTCAGTCGTTAAGCGTCTGCTTTCAGCTCAGGTCATGATCCCAGGGTCCTGGGATCGAGCTCCGCATCGGGCTCCCTGCTCTGCGGGAAGCCTGCTTCCCCCTCTCCCACTCCCCCTGCTTGTGTTCCCTCTCTCGCTGTATCTCTGTCAAATAAATAAAATCTTTAAAAAAGGGGGGGGGGGGGCGCCTGGGTGGCTCAGTCATTGGGCATCTGCCTTCGACTTAGGTCATGATCCCGGGGTCCTGGGTTCGAGCCCCGCAGCGGGCTCCCTGCTCAGCGGGGAGTCTGCTCACTCTGACCCTCCCCCCTCTCATGCTCTCTATCTCATTCTCTCTCTCAAATAAATAAAATCTTTATTTAAAAAAAAGTAAGATGGGGCACCTGGGTGGATCAGTTGGTTAAGTGTCTGCCTTCGGCTCAGGTCATGATCCCAGGGTCCTGGGATCGAGCCCCGCGTCGGGCTCCCTGCTCTGCGGGAAGCCTGCTTCCCCCTCTCCCACTCCCCCTGCTTGTGTTCCCTCTCTCGCTGTATCTCTGTCAAATAAATAAATAAAATCTTTTAAAAAAGGGGGGGCGCCTGGGTGGCTCAGTCGTTAGGAGTCTGCCTTTGGCTCAGGTTATGATCCCCGGGGTCCTGGGGTCAAGGCCCGAATTGGGCTCCCTGCTCTGCGGGGAGTCTCTTCTCCCTCTGACCCTCCCCCTTCTCATGCTCTCTATCTCCTTCTCTCTCAAATAAATAAAATCTTTATTAAAAAGAAAAAAGAAAGATGGGGCGCCTCGGTGGCTCAGTTGTTAATAGTCTGCCTTCGGCTCAGGTCATGATCCCAGGGTCCTGGGATCGAGCCCCACATCGGACTCCTTGCTCAGCGGGAAGCCTGCTTCTCCCTCTCCCACTCCCCCTGCTTGTGTTCCCTCTCTCGCTGTGTCTCTCTCTGTCAAATAAGTCTTAAAAAAAAAAAATGGGTGATAAGTTAAGTAGGACACTTGTGATGAGCACTGGGTGTTGTACTTAAGTGAAGAAAAGTAAATTCTGCAGAAACTACTAGTACACTATGTGTTAACAAATTGGAATTTAAGTAAAACTGGAATTTAGTAAAACTACAAAATTTAAGGACAGAAAATTGTTCCTTGGTGAAAAGATGAGACATAGAAAACAGAAAAATGTTCACTTTTAGCCCAGAAGGCTGACTTACAGCGTGCATAGTTATGATAATGATCTAATAAGTGCTGGTTGCTACATTCTTTTTTTTTTTGGATTTAATTTATTTATTTGACAGAGCACAAGCAGAGGGAGTGACAGGCACAGGGAGAGGGAGAAGCAGGCTGCCTGCAGAGCAGGGGGGACCCGATGTGGGACTGGTTCCCAGGACCCCAGGATCATGACCTGAGCAGAAGGCAGTCACTCAACCAGCTGAGCCACCCAAGTGCCCTGGTTGCGTCATTATTAAAGGGTCTCATGACTTCCTCTACATCCACCAATAATCAATATCAAACCTGATGGGGTTTTGGAATATGGGTAAGGTTCAGTGGGGTGGAGTCCGGAGCCGACGACCAAGAAAGAATTCTTGAGGCGTCTTGGGCGTAAAATGTTGGTTTATTAAAGCACGGGGAGAGGACCCGTGGGCAGAGAGAGCTGCTGCCTGGGGTTGTGAGGGGTGGCTGATTATATACTATGGGGTTGGGGGAGGTAAGGAATAAGGGAGGTTTCTAGAAAGCTCTTTCATATGTTAAGATTCACAGGATGCTGGAGGCCTTCCTATTGTCAAGTGAAGGTTATTTTCCCTCTAGCAAGGTATTAACATGAAGATAGTTGGGAACTTCCTGGAGGAGCATTACATTCAGGCTGCCTCAGGTATCTGTCAATGGGCTGCAGGTTATAAGGACATTTAATTGTATCTGCATTTCCTTCTGGAAGCGAGGCCATTGGTAGAAATGCTTTGTTCTTGTAAATTGCTAAGACATTTGTGAACTGAGGGAGACTCAGGTCTTGCAGGAATGTGATCTCTACAAATTAACTTTGTTTTTCCTTTCCGTAGCTTTAGGGCAGCCAAGAGTGCTGGCTCCCTATGGGGGGATGGGTTGTGCGGCGTCAGCTTCTGCTTTGTCCTCAGCTTGCCTTCTCTTCCCCCACCAGAACTGAATGAAAAGCACCGTAGAAAATTTTCAAAAGTAGTTTTAGGAGTAGAAATTTGAGGAGGGGCGCCTGGCTGGCTCAGTTGTTAAGCATCTGCCTTCGGCTCAGGTCATGATCTCAGGGTCCTGGGATCGAGCCCCGCATCGGGCTCCCTGCTCCGCGGGGAGCCTGCTTCTCCCTCTTCCACTCCCCCTGCTTGTGTTCCCTCTCTCACTGTCTCTATCTGTCAAATAAATAAATAAAATCTTAAAAAAAAGGGGGGGGGCGCCTGGGTGGTTCAGTCGTTAAGTGTCTGCCTTCGGCTCAGGTCATGATCCCAGGGTCCTGGGACTGAGCCCTGCATCGGGCTCCCTGCTCCGCGGGAAGCCTGCTTCTCTCTCTCCCACTCCCCCTGCTTCTGTTCCCTCTCTCGCTTTGTCTCTCTTTGTCAAATAAATAAAATCTTAAAAAAAAAAATTTGTGGAAACATTTATGATCTAATGCTCCCTATAGGAGCCCACCCCGTTGAGCATTAAGCATATAACCACCAGCTTCAAACATTACAAGCGTAGCTCTTTTCGTCCCTGGGTGGCTCAGTGTGACTTTGGTGGGTCAGGATCTCACGTTCCTGGGATAGAGCCCTGGGGTGGGCACCTTGCTCTGCAGGGAGTCTGCTTCTTCCTCTCCCTCTGCCCCTCCTCCTGATGGAGTTTTGGAATATGGATGAGGTTCTGTGGTGTGAGGTCCGGAGCCGACGATCCAAAAAGAATTCTTAAGACATCTCTGGTGCAAAAAAATGATTTTATTAAAGAACGGGACAGGACCTGTGGGCAGAAAGAGCTGCTCTGGGTTTGTGAGGTGTGGCTGATTATATACTTGGGAGCTGGGGAGGCGAGGTCGAAGGGGGTGTCCAGAAGGACTGTCATATGCTAAAGGAGACTCTCAGGATAATGGAGACCTGGTTATTGTTGAGCCAAGGCTGTTTTTCCTTCTAATGAGGCACTAACATGAAGACAGCTGGAAGTTTCCTGGAGGGATGTTATATTCCTCCTATAACACATCCTTGTCAGTGAGCTTCAGGTTTAGAAGAAATTCAATTTTATGTACATTTCCTTCTGCCTCAGCCTCCCTCAATTTTATGGAGGGGAGGATGATGTTAGGGCTTCAGGAAACTGAGTTATGGGTCTCTGGAAGTTAGGCTATTGATGAGAAAGCTTCTTCCTTGTAAATCACTAGGATGTTTGTAAACTGAAGGAGACTCCTGTCCTGCAGGACTGTGATCTCCAGTTAACCATTTCTTTTTCCTTTAGGGCAGCCAGCAGTGCCTGAGGAATGTCACATATATGGGGGGGCGGGGGGAGGAGCAGTGTAGG